ACTACAGCTGATACATGTCTCTGAATTGGCTGCCTTAAGTGCCAAATCAGTGAAGTTCCATATACCCAGTGCTTCATTTGATATTATCATATTCATTATTGTTATTATTACTACTAATTATTTTTAGCTAACTGTTGGCACAATTCAGAACTATTAAATTCCTCCATGCTGGCATTGAAGCCTTTTCTAGAAACTCTTTCATTCAGCATTTAGCAGTCTTATTAGGTCATTTTCTTAGGGCTTCTGAATTATCTGGTGGAATCCAGTTATCTATTTTATCTATTATAGTGCATAAAGTTTTTATCTGAATCAACCTCAAAAACTAGCTTGGCATAAACTGAAGTATATTGAAAAATCAGAGAAAACAACAGTGATTTTATTTTGTGTTACTCAATTTATGTTAAAAGCACATTCTTCTAATGAACATAAATAAGTTGCATAGTCAACAAACAGTTATTATTCAAGCATATAACATCTTTTGCTTTTCTTTAGAAGCCTTGATTGTCTTTAGGAGAAACTACACCAGAAGTTCTTGAATTTTAAAATTTCTACTGAAAATACTTCAAATCATCATAATACAACAGTGCTTGAAAGGGAATATTTGTATTTCAGAGGAGCTTTAGTTAGTGTGAAGTTTAATATCATAATTGGCCCATATAACAATTTGAACAGAATATCTGACCCTAATTTGCAGAAACCATTTTTAATAAAATATTTTATATCTGCACATTTAATCACATATTATAGTGAATAGTGAATTAAATAATTTTGTAAAGCTTCTGCTCCTTCCTTTAAATCAGTTAAGCTAATTTTCTTTCCTACAAAGGTCTGTGCTAGTATCAAATTGAAACTAGAATGAGCTAGTCCCTCCTTATTTATCATGTCAAATATGATTTATTTGTTTGGATTGATTATTTCAAAGCTGCTTGAAGTGGAGGGAAAAACAAAACAAACTCTAGGATCCAAGTGAAAAATATAATCCAGACTTCTTTCTTTCTGCATTAATCATATGTAATTGTTCCGCAAGGCTAAAATAAAGGATTGGTATAAAAATATCTGTTACTTTTTTCACTTCATTCTCAGAGACAATTAGAAATATACTGCAAAGTCATACATTTTATCCTGCATATTTCACTATGAAGGCTGACCCAAAATAAGTCAAATATCTTGAAAACACATCTTTATACAGTAAGGCTTTTAAAGGATAAATTACTCCCCTTTTTTACCACATGAAAGATAGTTCATTTGCTTACTTAGTGTTTTTCAGTTCACAGTGACCTTTATTTTTTCCCACAAATGTGTTAGCTTGTATTAAAATGATCAATAATCTGGTGAAAATGTAAGGTTAATGGACTTTGCTTAAAAAGACAAGTAAGGAGATAAAGTATTGTGTTAAATTTTATAAATGCATATAAAGAATTCAGAACTCTTTATCTAGAATTTCTGTTCTTTGGTCATATCCCATAGTAGATTTTATTTATAGCACACTGAACTGTTCCTTGTATTCCTCCTCTTTAATAGGCAGATTTTCAGGCAGGAACCCAGTGAATTTTTATTGTTGCAGTATATAATGCCTTTAAGAAAAACTGAAAGTTTACTAGTAAATATTAATCTTATTATGGGACTCTGGAATTTTGCTCGTTCAAAGAACTGAAAGTAGCCTCCAAGTATAGCGAAGATTTGCCTTTGTATCTCTGTCTGCAGCAACAGTCGGAGTATGGATATGAAGTCTGCATACTGTGTATATTTTGCTGGCATATGGCACAGAGTCCAGACCTGGTACAGACATGGATTGACTGAGTATAAGTGGAATTCAAAGGACTGCTTACTTTCCAGTTGTTTCAGTAGCACAGCTAAAAACAATCAGAAGCATATACCTATTTACTGAGAAGTTAATTTCACAAAGCATAACAAGAGTAAAATATATAATGGTTCCTCTAAAAATCTAGCTTCTAGTTGTACGTGTCATTGCCTTGTTAGTGCTGCTTGTTTGCAAAATAGTTCTCCAGAAAATGGTATACAGAAATACGGTCCGATGAATGCACAAAATGCCTGGGAACCCAGTGTAACTTTTACAGTAGATATAACTGTAGTTGTACAAATACAGCTGATGAAAATACCATAATAAAACAGTATGTTCTAACTCTATAAATGTTTAGGCAAAAGACACCTTTATCTTTTGTTACGCGTTGATGACATGACTCTCCGCTCCTCCCTCCCCCCACAAATGCTGTGAAAGTGTAAATACAAATGACCCTTATAGTTAAATTCCATTGGAATTTATTCATATCTTAAAGCAGTGTGATGGGCTATTACACAAATTACTGTTATGGTGAAGAAGTTATCATCTTCAGAGTGCTTGTTGAAGCAACAAGCTTCAAAAGTGCTCATTTATGTATGTCATTTCAGTGTAATTATATGTCTGGTCACTCTTCAACTAGATTCTGATGGAAAGATGGGAAGGGAACATGGTTAAGGGATGGCAGGAAACAATAATTGCAAAGAGCAGCCTGCTATAAGCAGAACACTTTATATAAGTGTACCCTAAAAAGGCTGAATGCTTCGGCTTATCTTTTAACTACAAAGTTGGAAAAGAGCTTTACTTTAGAAAGCTTTCATTAAAAAAGAAAACCTAGTTTGAGGCGGAATCTGGAAATGCATTTTAACTGAGATTTCCATCTTCTATGGACTTCTTCCATAGATAGACATCTTCCATCTTCTATGGAATTCCATGTAAAACTAAGACACCTGCTCACTGTGAAGTTTGGAAAAACAGAATCTTATAACCTGTCACTTCATGAAATGTTGTGTATGCAGTGCACATGCAGTGTTGTATTACTTCAATCACAAATTATGTTGTCTTAGCAACATAATTTTGGTAGAGCCAGATGTATCCAGTGCATCTGGGTTCAAATGGTGGCTTTTCAAAAGCAGATGGTTGGTTGTAGGACCATATTGTAAATTATTTGTGTACTCTAAAATATAATTTTCCTTTAGTTTCTGAAAGTGTTTAGTTTCTGGAATGAACATGGTTCATGCAATTTTTCTGATACCCTTTCTATTTTGGTGCCTTTTTTTATACTTAAGACAGTTCAGTTCTTGATGGGGTAAAATGCATCCTCCAGGAAATCACAGGCATCAGTGCTATTTTGTACATATGAAAAGTATTTATTGTGTATAGGAGTATAATTAAGATTTAGAAATCTTAAAATAGTTTTTTTTTTCCATCATAAAGTTACTTTTGTCTTGTGTTTCATATACCACAAAGGCAGAAAATTTAGTTTTGGCATAAAAATGACTCTTAAAGGCTACATCTTTGGAGTAGTAAAAATAATTCTAGTAGAAACTAATTTTGTAAAACTAATTGGAACAGATATTGACAGATTATTAAATGAAATAAATGAAGTAACTGTAAAAGCTAGAAATTGTGCATTGCTAGCTATGTGTGTTGTGTAGTAAAAAATTAATGATGGTACATATAGCAGTCCATCTTCATTCAACAGGAAAAGTGCACAATTCTCTTGTATAAACCATACTTATATATATATAGTAAATTAAAAGCTACAAAGATTTTTAGAACAGACTAAAGATACTGGCTTTTCTGTAGATATCAGAAAACCAGTAAGATCTAGGCAAAACTTGTGTATTAAAACATTACTTTTTTGTTTGTGTATTTCTAGTAAGTGAAAGGAATCAAAAAAAGTGCAAAAGTTGTATGCTTATCTATCAGAAATCAAGCTACTTCATTGTCATCCCTGCATTCTGCCTCTCCTTTACATGTCTTGTTACTTTATGTTTAGTCATTTATGTAGCACTTTCTTTAGCTTATGCTATTCACATATGCCAGCCCAAACCATTTCTGCATTTTGGGCTAGAAGCAGATTCGATACGGCAGTAATACATATTGTTCAATTTGGAGCGTGTTTGGACTAACAAAGAACGCAACAAGTTATGTCTGGTGTTAAGTACCCTCCTACTTGAGCTTATTTCTGTATTGTGCATGTACTGTGCATGCTTTATCAACAACTGCATCCACGATTTATATACACCTAAGCAAAACTGAGTCAAATTATAATGCAAGTTAAAGATTGCTTTCCTATTTGCTATTTACAGTGTCTAATGCAACAGGACTTCAACTCTTAGTGAAGCTAGTGCAGGCTACCATTTTAAATATTTAATCATATGCATTGATGCAATTCTTAGACAGAGTAGGGCATATATCCATACATAGTCTCTAGTCTGTATAGACTAAACATAAATGCACATATTGAGAATTCTGAGATATCATTGTCTTTCACATGTCTGCTTATGCTGACTGAAAAATACTATATTGCTTTTGAGAAAAATAGCGTGATACTATACATGAAGATTACCATGCTCCATTTGACAAGCAGGTGCTGAAAGAAAGTCAAAATTAAACACCTTTTCTGTCTTTGGAATTTAATAGAATTTTGCAAGCCCTTAGATAAAGCTGTTAGTTTCAATTTGTCGATTAACTCACGTGCAGAAAGGAAAATTTTTAGACAGTTAAGCAGCCTTGTCAATTAGATATTTAATGAATTAAGATGAACTCAGAGGCACTTTTAACTGGCATCTGTTGCTAAAGGAGAAGTATCTACATTTCTGAAAGTTCCAGGTGTCACTAAGTAGTACTCTATTGGGACTAATTTAATTTGTTCACTTAAGATCCAATTCGTGGCTGTGATACCCTCCAGGAGTTGCATAGCAAGTCTCTAAGCAAAACATTTAGTTCTGTTGTTGCAAAAAATTAGTAGGTATTTGGAACTAGCTACGTTTATATGAGATTGCTTTTCTTTTTTCCTCAAACATACTCTGGTTAATCGCATTCATTATTGAAAATGTTTGAAATTGATGGACTAAAGAACACATTTCTTTTAATATCAGGCATATAAATACTTTGTATTATAGTGCTTTAAAACATGTCTTTATTACTTTTAGAATGCCTCTTTGCTAATCTTGATGTTGTGTCCTTCCTGCAGATGTAAACGAATGTGAAGCTGAGCCCTGCAAGAATGGTGGAATTTGTACAGACCTTGTTGCCAACTATTCCTGTGAATGTCCAGGTGAATTTATGGGAAGAAACTGCCAATACAGTGAGTATCACAATGATTCTACAGCTCTTTTTTAAATGTTTGTGTTTTCTTCTATAGAAACAATCACATTACACGTAGAAATATTTTTGTATTCTGCAGTAGATGATGCTTGAGATAGCCTTGATTTTCTCTTCAAGATGAAAAAACTATAAGATACTGAATTTATCAGGTCTTAAAATAAATTGATATGATTTTCTAATATGATCATGGAATCATTTAGTATGTAGAATGATTAGCTAGAGTTAAGATGAAAAGGAGCAAATAGTGTTTAAAAAAAAAAAAAAAAAAACTGAGTCAGTCTAAGGGTTCATCTAGCCAGGTATCCTCTCCTTAACAGTAGTGATATCATATGCCAGCAAGAACAGACCAAGTATATATGACACCTTGCTGAGCTTTCTCCAATCTCCTGCTATTTTCTGCTCAGAGGAGTTCCTGAGCCCTATATGTTTTGGTTTGATCTCATTTATTTAATTAGTACCTCAAAAAAGACTATTGTAATCCATTTGTCTTCATGTAAACTTCGACTTCATGTAAACCTTTCTTGTTCACAATGCGTTCTGTGTGGGAAAACCACCTCATATGTGGAAGTAAAACAAGTTATTCTGGTTTGATGCTGGTTCTTACTCAACATCGTTTGATGTCTAGTTGAGGAAACGTTTGCTCATTTTGTTACATGCTGTGGAGCATGTAAGGAACTGGCCTAATGTGAGGATAAAAATGGCTGTATGTAAGGTGGACTCCCAGGAGAAATCTTGCATGGTTTTGCTAATAACTTGGATTATGAATGGATTGTAAAGATTTGATTCCCATAATTAGAATGCATTGTAAATACAGAGGAGTACATGTGAAAGACTGGAACCAGAATAACAGAATAAAATGCTATGGAACAAAGTGCGAGGTATCAGAACTTAAAAGTTAATGACCGAAGAAAGTGTTTTCTGAATTCGAAAGAATATGGAGAAGAAAGCCTATGTATTTCAGTTTATCCAAGAGTAATTGTTGATTGCTTGTATGATGGAGTTGTGGAAAAGACAAACGTAGTGGCAAGATATGTCAGCCTCATGCCTTGTGGAGAAAAGGGAAAATATTTGTGCTATTATACCAGATACCACTTTAAAAATACCTGAGATTTTGTAGCCATCCACATTCAAATAGCATGATTTCAGATAAGAGCAGGTTCAAAAAGATCTAATAGGTATAGCAGGAAAATCTAGACTCTGTTGCAAGTTGAATACTAAGTAAATTATGTAGTGGTTAGCAAACCATAACAAAGGTGAATGGTATAATTTATTTTTCTGTGTTCACATTGTAGATGCATGGGGAGGCAGGGAAAGAAAATGTGGATCATTAACCACAAAGACAGGCTAGGAATTTTTCCAAGTAGCTTCAATGGGTTCTCAGATTCACATCAGGCAAACAAACTGAAGCATCTAACATAAAGTGTACAAAACTGTAGAGAGAAATCATAGATTAAAGTTTGATTTGAGATGTTTTACATGCCTAGATGTCTACCTTAACAGAATTTGTGTGCTGTACTTAGTCACAAAATCTAACTCAGGAACTTCGTGATATAAAAAGATGAACATCTATTAAAGTTTTACATAAAAGTTGTTGATGGATTTTTTTTATGCACTTCATTTATTAAGGGCAATTGAAATGCAATTTGGAATTCTGGCAGGAATCATATCCATCTCTTTTAAGATTTATCCCTTCTGGTTTTTGGATGATAAAAAATTACAGAAAAATCATTATTATAATTGCTCAGGTTATACATCATATGAGACCAATTTGCTCTTTTACTAAAAATAGATAGTCAGAGCTATACAAAGTATAAGTTTTGAGAATATTGAACTAGCTAAAGAATTCTTCCAGTAAAGCATTATTGAATTACAAGATAGGTGCCTATAGCCTGTCTTTTAGGACACTCGGTGGGAGGCATTATATTGGGAAGTGAATCATCCTAATAAGTGAGCCTACCTATTTTCACTAGAAGCGCTTCCATAGGTAAGTGTTCACCAGTGTCACCTAGGTCTCCATCATCTATTCTGTAGAACAGAACACTTAAGATATTTGAAAGGGTAATATTCTTGGGTGTCAACAATTTTTTTTTAATTATAAGAAGTCTGGTATTTTAAACAGCAGTCAAAGTGCTTTGGTATAGATATTGCTGCAGGTAGCAAGAATAGTGATTACTAAATGTGCTAGACAGTAACAGTTAATTTGTTATCTCTGGGGTGTGTGTGGCTTGGTAATTGAGTGGGCATGACAGTACTGCAGTGCAATAGTAAAAAGATTGTGTTCCTTTCTTACTCTGGTTAGTGAACAGACATATGGAATTACCAGCTACCAGGTTATCTGAAGGACATGGAAAAAAAAAAAAGTAAAATCCTTTGTGTTATAAAGAATTAAAAGTAATATAGTACTTAAATAAGTAATTATATATTTTTGCAAAATGCAGGTATTTGAATGCTTCAGTTATACCCCTCCATACTCATACTATTCTGGTAACTCTATGAAGAGTTATAAATAAAAAATAGATAATTAAGGATGGAAATAAAGGTTGTACTCACTGTAGATTGTTACTGAATTGCCCCTATGCTGAAGACATACCACGTTACTACTTTAGCTTCCACTACTTTTTCACAGACTTTCATCATTCACTGCTTTTGCACTATCCTTAACACAGGTGACATGAAATGTTAACTGTCCTTCTTATACCAATGCGTTATTGTGCACTATACCAACTCCTATAGCCAGGGTTGTATATATCCATTTTTTGAGAAGTTTTGTGCCATTACACCTAATTATGTAATTATATGTAGTTATAACACATTCTAATTATACCATTAGAGTATTACACATCTTTACACTAATCATATAATTAAATACTGTTACACTAATTATGTAAACGACTGATTGCTGTTTCAGAATTACCTCACATTGCTCAAGGATTGCTAAACCACATCACAAAATATGTAAAATGCTGTAGATAGAAAAGAGAAAACACAAATTATATTATACAGACTATTTTTTCTGTCATTGCAAATCTGTTCTCTAGCAAGCATTTTCTAGTATTACATGTAGAGTGATGTATCCCAATTAGTGTTGCTTTGTAATATTGACTTGCCATGTTACTTGTCAGCTTAAAATAGTTTGATGTCAGGGAGTTTTTTCTAATGTTCATAATAAATTTTGTGTGTCTCTTCTTTGTTTCTTAAACTTTCCCCAATTTCTTTTAGCTAGTCACCTAAATATTTCATTTCACTTTTATGTCATGTTTAACACTTTACGGATTTGTGAAAATTGTTATATTATACTCACATTCTCCAAGTTTGGTGAAACACTCACCTACCATCCTTATGACTCCTCCCAAGAGTCTGTCTGTATAACTAGCGCAGCTGAAGTGGGAGAGAGGCTTGTAAGCTTGTCTGGAACTGAGTACTGAGAGGTTTCTTGCCCCTGTGCTCCTTTTGTTGGCTATAAAGAGTAGAGAATTTGTGTAACCCTAGCACTAAAATGCCTTATAAACTTGGAAGACTATACCATCTTTGAAACACTATACTATCATCTGTATCTCTTTCCAAAGTGGATGAAGTTTGGGGCGGCTTTGTGAGGGCTCAGTCATGCAGTCCTCCGAAGATAGGTAAGGGGATGCAATCAGCTGATCTCCTGGCCAGTTGGTGTAACTCATGCTCCAACCATGCTCCTGTTCCTTTTTGGCTTGCTTATGTTTTATTTGTGTATCTGTCTCACTTTGAAGCACTGGCCTATACCCTTTTTTTCTTTCAGGATACATTTAAGTTCTGTCTTTTTTTCTTATTAGATACTGTTTACTGTACCCACTCAGGGATTATATGGTACTAAAAACAGTTGCTTCTAATTGCTAGAAAGCATGAGATGAGGCAGAGTAGTGTGGAGTATAAGAGCACTGGTGGCTTCTGGAAATGTTCAATTATTCTAGAATAAGCTTATCAGTCTTTCAGAGGTTCTTCAGTGAGCATCTGGTATTTACAAATTTATCTGCAGATATTTAGTAAACATAGGATAGAAAGAGAGCCTTTTCCCATCCCATGAAAGTAAAAATTACCTATATTGTTTGCATATTACTTTCCAGGTTTCTTAAGTCCTCAGCCTTTCCTAGAGGGAGAAGAAAAGCCTACCATTCTTGCACTCTCTGAACAAATTCTTGCTTCTCGGCTGAGTTCAAGCTATCAGTGATGATCACTTCCATTACAAATTTCCTTAGTCTTAGAGTTTTCATAAATAAGTAATAATTCCAGAAGAGTTTCTCCTGACATTGAAGTCTTTTACTTGCTGGATCACAAAATTCCCTGCCAGGCAACAGGGAGCTGCTTCCATTGATGTATGACTGTGTTCATTGTTAAGTACAAATCTATATTGTTAAAAGTCTCCCATAAGCAACCTAGATTTTCTGTTTTCTTCGCAAACAGTGAACGCATTGCAATTTCACCATTGTGCTTGTGGACCTGTAGCTTGCTGATTACTAAAACTTGCTGACATTAAAGCAGATGGCATATTTTCTCTATTTTTTTTTCCTTTGAAGAGATGGGTAAGATTAGTCACGGTAAATATTTTTTACATATACTACACCCCCTTAACCTCCTATTCTGCATGTTTCATATGCCCATATTTATGATGACTACATTTAGAACAAGTGTACCAGCGTGATTTGTCTAGCATATCACAAATCCTGCTAAGCAGTGTACCGGTATTTTTGTTTGTTTCCTGTGCAGTGTATTTTAGTACATTACCATATGTTTTTACCACATTTGGTCATCTTCTGCCATCCTGTCCCTGGAAATTAAAACAACAATTTTAATTTAAGCAAAAACTTCCATTTTTTTCGGTGTCCTTCTTAGTTAAGAGTTATGTAAAGACCTGATAAATCCACACATAAAGAGCGTTTCAAGACTACTGTTTACATGGAGCCTTGTACTCCCAAACTAGTAGTTGTCATCAAAATCATTTTGAGCTGTGAC